GGAAGTTTCATTCTACGTAAGAAGAACAATTTACCGCAAAGAAAAAGAGATAGATATTCGAATTGTCGTTTTTCGCTCAATTCGAATTAAACATGTTTAACCTTGACCAATGGCTAAATCACTATACCCGGGTTGACCTCCATAAACCAAAAATTTTTATCTTACATTTCCCTACACCGAAAATGCGTATCTTACAATTCCATACATCAAATGTATGGGAAAATGCTAATCATACAATTTTCTTACAATTTCAAAAAACCATTGAAAAAAGATTCAAAATAGTTTCTGCAATTATTTGAACTAAATAAAACAATCTGGTGTTGAAAAAAAACCATAATCATTTTTTAGATTATGAAAATTGTACGATAAGCATTTCTAAAACTTTGAAACTCAATTTTTCAATCATGATTTTAAAAAATCATAACAATCTTAACTAAGTAGTTTGTATTAATTCCTGGTTTTCAAGTCTGCTTTGTAGCTGTGGAAACAAGGGAAACCCATTCGTGTCTCTTGAACCACTTAGCTCAAAAAAATATTGCAGCCAACTCATAAAAAAATCATGCAAAGCAAGGACGTTTTCGAAATTAAAAAATGACATTGATTGGAGAGAAAACTTAACCGATTTTTTTTTCAATCCTCAAAAATTTGAGAAAAGGTTGAGTCTAATATAAAATATACTTCAAAAATATTGTTTAAAAAATATTTTCAAATCGTTTTTGACTTCAAAGCGGATGAAACAAAATTTCAGTGCTGCTCGATACCTAAATGACCTTGTGGTAATTTAATTCGGAACCTTGTGTTAAGAACTCGTGTTGACATCCCACCGTTAATTATCGCTTTTTCTGTGGTATCCCAATGATAGCCTCTTTCCAGCGCTGATTCTTGTATAATTCAGAGCTTATTGCATAGTTAAACCTGCGATGTTTTAGAGCTATTTCTGTAAAATTTGCGCAAAAAAAAACAGCGCTGAAACTTAAGAAATTTTAATTCATTCTAGTAGCTTTAAGTTGAGAGTGTGACTTTATAAGCCCATTAACTTGTGTGTTATCGCTCGGTGGCGCAGAGGTAGACCACATGTCTGCAAGGATGATAGTTATGGGAGCAAAATCTTGTAGTTAACTATTTTTGATAGGTTTTTATTGCTGTTTCATCGCTAAAATTTAGCCAAATTAGCGATAATCTATCGATAAAATTTACTATTGTGGCAATGAACAGCGATATCTCATCGATGGCGATCGCTGCTTTTTTCGCTTGTTTATCGCTTATTTTCAATATGAGCTCAACTCGGGAAATTGGTTCTACATCCTGAAAAAGAATTGAGAAATTTGCGTTGGATTTTGCGCTAAAAGGTAGCCAATATGTTTAATTTTGCAAGTATTTGAATTTAAAGTTTTTTGGGAAGAGCAGTGCGTTGCAGTTCATACGCGAGAGTCTGAGGTTAATAAGATTCCTAACTCATCTCAAACAGTGTCGAAATGTTTAATATTTTAAGATATTCATTACGAGGCCAAACTGTGTATTTTGTGAATTGTAGGCGGTTGCCGCAACAAAGACGCAATGTTTAACATGTATTTTTGTAATATTTCCGCAAAAAAACAGCGCTGAAACGTAAGAAGTTTTAATTCATTCTAGTAGCCTTAAGTTGAGAGTGTGACTTTATAAACCCATTAACTTGAGTGTTATGTCTCGGTGGCGCAGAGGTAGACCACATGTCTGCAAGGATGATAGTTGTGGGAGCAAAACCTTGTATTTAACTATTTTTGATAGGTTTTTTTTGCTGTTTCATCGCTAAAAACTAGCCAAGTTAGCGATGATCTATCGATAAAAATTACTATTGTGGCAATGAACAGGGATAACTCATCGATGGCGATCGCTGCTTTTTTCGTTTGTTTATCGCTTATTTTCAATATGAGCTCAACTCGGGAAATTGGTTCTACATCCTGAATAAGAATTGAGAAATTTGCGTTGGATTTTGCGCTAAAAGGTAGCCAATATGTTTAATTTTGCAAGTATTTGAATTTAAAGTTTTTTGGGAAGAGCAGTGCGTTGCAGTTCATACGCGAGAGTCTGAGGTTAATAAGATTCCTAACTCATCTCAAACAGTGTCGAATTGTTTAATATTTTAAGATATTCATTACGAGGCCAAACTGTGTATTTTGTGAATTGTAGGCGGTTGCCGCAACAAAGACCCACTGTTTAACATGTATTTCTATAATATTTCCGCAAAAAAACAGCGCTGAAACTTAAGAAGTTTTAATTCATTCTAGTAGCTTTAAATTGAGAGTGTGACTTTATAAGCCCATTAACTTGTGTGTTATGGCCCGGTGGCGCAGAGGTAGACCACATGTCTGCAAGGATGATAGTTATGGGAGCAAAACCTTGTAGTTAACTATTTTTGATAGGTTTTTATTGCTGTTTCATCGCTAAAATTTAGCCAAATTAGCGATAATCTATCGATAAAATTTACTATTGTGGCAATGAACAGCGAAAACTCATCGATGGCGATCGCTGCTTTTTTCGCTTGTTTATCGCTTATTTTCAATATGAGCTCAACTCGGGAATTTCGTCCTACATCTTGAAAAAGAATTGAGAAAGTTGCGTTGGATTTTGAGCTAAAAGGTAGCCAATATGTTTAACTTTGCAAATATTTGAATATAAAGTTTTTTGGGAAGAGCAGTGCGTCGCAGTTCATACGCGAGAGTCTGATGTTAATAAGATTCCTAACTCATCTCAAACAGTGTCGAAATGTTTAATATTTTAAGATATTCATTACAAGGCGAAACTGTGTATTTTGTGAATTGTAAGCGGTTTCCGCAACAAAGACGCACTGTTTAACATGTTTAGAGACCTGTCTCTGCATTTCAGAGAAGTGCAGACATCAAATTGTGCGCTTTCTAGAGCACAGTTTTTGCCTCGTACTGATAAAATTAATCAGATATGCTAGACATTGTCAGCAAAATTTATTGATAGGCGCCTAAATTTTTTTGACGTGTGCTCGTTTTCTTACTGCTAGGTTTCCACCTATTGTTTGAGCAATTGAGTATTAGACAGGTCTAAAATTATGCTTTTAGCTTTTCAATTTTTATTCTTAAATTGAGTTAAATAGCAGTTCTACAAAAATGAAAAAAAACATCCAAAGAAATTTTTAGTTAGCAATATTCAAACCAGGTTTGAACTTTTTTCAGAGTGCAAACCAATCTCGTTTTTCTTATATTCAATCTAATTTAAACTACGAGAAAATTAGTCAATTTATCATTCACATTATTGTCCAAAAAATATAACAACACAACAAACCTTGTTTGCGCCGTCGTTATTGTTCCAAAAAATGAAAGTAATTAGGTCGCAATTTTGTCTTCGTGTGTATTTTGGTTTTTTCCAGGCATTTGTGAGTTTGTTGTGATTTGAATCATATTGATACTTCTTTTTAGTTTTGCTCAATCTCGTGAAAATTTAATTTGAAATTTTTGGGGTTCAGTCAAAATCCGAGCAAATAAAGCCAGCGAGCAGGTTGATTGATAATTGACCGAAAGTTTTCTTGAAGTTTATAATTTCTATTTAAAAGAACACTTTATCCAGCAAATTTTAAATTTTTGCCAACGACACCAAAAAAATAATGTCTTTTTGGCCGCTGTTGTATTTGATCTCTTGAAATCTACGATTGCAGGTCAAATAGCTTTTGAATAATTGTGTATTAGGTCAGTGTACAATTTTTTTGAAACAATACGAGGGTGTGAACAATGTTTTTTTTTGTAGGCCAATATAATTCTTTTGTCTTGGTGAAAAAGTAGAAGAATTGAGTTTTCATTTTATATTGTCTTTGCTTAAATGCAACCATTTATAATGCAAAGCATTTCAATTAAATAACGAATAAATAGATAAAATGAAATTTTTGAATTGACCTGTACAAAATGACCCGATCCAATGTATTTTAACCGCAATGTTTCTACAGATGTTTTTTAGAGATTTGACTTTTAAGTTAATAACTAACTTTTTTGTTCTCAAATAAGCAGTCGTTTTCGTTTTGAAAACGCAGGTAGAAAAAGGTTTGCAATGATTACATGGGGTTTGACATTTTCAAACTACTGCCTAAGGAAAAGGTGTAGACGTTCTCAGAAAAAAATAACATCTAAGCAACTGAAAATGTCATTTAAGGCATCTTTCAACCAAAGAAATTTCGAGACTGTAGCAAATAGATCAGAAAAGAATTGGTTCGAAGACATCCCTGCCAGGTCGCAGTCATTTTGATGTTCTTATTTAAAGTTTTTTCCGGTGAGTTTTAATGCGACAGGGGATCCCTTAATATAACACGCCGGAAGTGTGGGGGAAAATGTAGGGAAAGCTGAGTTGGCTGAAGTCCAAATTCAAACATGAAACGTGATCTTGAGGAAATAAAGTAAAAGAATCCCAAAAGTAGGTATTTTTTATATTCATTAGGGAAAATCATCCATCAGTTCTTTGTTTTGATCTATTAAATTTGCTTTATTTAGATTCTACATGAAAGTATACGATACTTTAATCATTTTTCGACTGAGGATGTTTCGTCAGAGAACAAAATTCGGCTGATTTTTATCAGATTTTAACCTTACCCTCAATTTCAACTAATCGCGATTCTATTTACGAAAAAAATTATCTGTTAATTTTTCCATTCAAGCCTCGCTTTATTCACTTAATGATTTTTAATAAACGAACATGTAGACACGTGAATAGAAAAAATTGATTGATTTGTTAGTGATTTGAATAATCCTTTAATTGATAGTTTTAGTTTATTTATTGAATCGCAAGAACAAATGTTAACAGAATCTCTGAGAATCAATTTAGCTTATTGATGCGTCTGGCTTACCTTCTAGTAAGTCTCTCTTAAAAGAATCAATAGCACGTTCGAAAGCATTTGACCTTTTTTATCCCGATTTACAGTAATATACAGACTAATTTAACCTCAAGGATTAAGTAACAACGCCTAAATTGCTTTTTTATTTGAAAAACTGAGCAAAAATACCAAAATGATCAATGATGGCATCGGTCCTCAGCTTAATAATATTCCCAAGAGTCCCATTTATCACTTGCAGTTCCAGAAGACAACCTCATTCCAAACAGGCTTCGAAGAGTCTAACGACATCTTCAGGAGTAGCGGAGGATCTTCAGAGACACCTCAATTGGATCCCGGACACAATTTGGCCGAAAGTACAGTAGGAGCTACGAGAACCAATGCTTCAGAGGAGCTGACATGGTCGTGGTTCTTCGGCCAACTGGCCAGCATTCGAATTATTCTCGCATTTGCGAGTCTCTTTGCCATTTTCATGATCATCCGCTATTTGAGGACCATATACGGAAAGATGATCAAGACACACTTCCAAATATACTGTATTATTTTGAGCTGTTCAGACTTTTGTATCTCAATCAGTGGAGTTTGCACCGTAACTGGAGTCTTTAAGTTCATTGACTCCCCTGTTCTTTCAACAGTGTAAGAATGTCATCTTTCTCAGCTGATTTTGACTACGTTTTTAATCTAGGTCGACCCCTGACTGCCTGTGCTACTATTTATTTTAAGACATCCATGTTTGGCCGGTTGACCCTAAAATGTTTCTAAAGATATCACCAATATATAATATGTGATTAGCGCGAGCCGAAAAATTGTTCTTTTTTGTCAAAATGGTTCAAAAAGTTCCTAAAACGCCTTTTTTGGTCAGTTTTTTTCTTCAAAATTTCGCCTACGGCTCATCAATTTGACTAGAACAGGGCATTTTTAGTGCTGTGAGAGAACTCGGAAAAAATATAGAGAAAATTTTCGAAAACTTTTTGAAAATACCAACCCCCCCCCCCCTCGAGAAACATCCAGATCCGCCCCTGGGTTAGAATGTGCTTTCTGTATTTTTTTACGGTCCACACATCAATTAATACGGAGTGTTATAAGCGTTTTAATTAATACGGAGTGCGTGGGGTGATTTTCAGAAAACTTTTATAAATTTTAAAAACTTACTTTTTTTGAAAAACTCATTTTTTAGAGCGCAAACTACTCCATAGTTCTTAAAGAGCATTCTAAACTCTCAGATCTAGGCCTGATCTAGGCTATTTTTTGATAATCATTTAAAATCCCCCAAAGGCAGAAAATGTTCACATTCAACATCCACATTACAACCATAAAAAAAACTCGTATTAGGGCAATGCCCTGAATGTTTCGACTACCTTTTATCCATTCTGCTCCCCTCCCAGCTCAGCGTGAAGTACAAAGGAAAAAATATTGTTTAGCGCAAAATTCAGATCAATTCAATTCAAACCAACTCAATTCGTTTTGGAATCAAGATTTTTTTCGCCCAATTAATTTCCCAGCCTACGCTACGCATTAACAAAGGCTACAAATATTGAGCAAATTAATCGCTTACTGACGAATCCGACACCTTTCAATGTCCCGTCTTTTTCAGCAAATTGTAGCAAGGAAAATTTTGCTTAAATCATCAAAGTCTTTCAGACTGTACAAAAAATTTATCAAAGGTTGTTTTTCAAAAAATCTAAATTGTTTTATTGATTGCTGTTAAGTGTCTTACTTGGTAAGAGATTCAATTAGTTTGTTTTGATTTTTGAAATGAAGATGTAAAGTTTCTACATCTTCATCTCAAAAGTCAAAACAAAGTAGTCAGATCTCTTACCAAGTAAGACGTTTAACAGAAATTATTAAAATAAGATTGCTCGTATATCAGAACGAAGCCCTGATCGGTCCAACTGCCTCATATCTGGTTTTGAATAGTGTTAACATTTGAGTCGAATAAATAAGATCAATTAAATTTAGCCAAAAATCAATATGGAACAATTATGAGTGCGGATAATTTGCCCCGCATAAATAGTTTGCATTTAGAAACTATGCAAGCGTTATTCGAGCAGCGATATCATCTGCAGTTTAATTTGGAGCATGCATACCCATTTTCCAATCTGAAGATTTCCGGATTGATAATCATACGCTGTCAACTTTTGTAAAAGCGGTCTAAAAAAACTATTGCCCCAAGCAGATGTATTCCTCATTTTCTTCGAAAGTTTGACCAAAAGACATCAAGTAGAAACATAATACTCTAGATCACGTTTGCAATTTGATCCGTAGATACTAATGTTTTTTATAAACATTGAGAGATCGAGGTTTGATAATTATAATTACAATTATAATTATAATTAAACAAAAGATAAATATTTAATAGATTCTGAGTAGATTTCAAGATTACTTTGTTGATTGGTTCACCTTAAACAACTTTAATTACTTTGTATAATTTTGATAGTTGTTTTTCTTGACTTTTTTGAATTTAAAATATCTCGCTAAATTCACTGACAAATGTTTACTGGGATGAAATTGAGGAATACTCACATATGACGCTTTCAAACAGGCTGTAAAACTTTCAGCGTGCGTTCAAGTTCGATGATTTAATGTACTAATTATCATTGTAAGAAACCGTCCTCGACAAAGTTTTTTTTTGTTAAATAGTTTCACCATTTGCAAGAGTTTGGGGCAACCCGTTGCAGGGCATAAAATTGCATGTTTAACCAAAGAAATAATTTGCAGTAGGGGTGGCACGTCCCTAATAAGCATCAATGAGGGGAAAATATTTTAAAAGATCGAAGAAAGCAATTTTGCGTATTTTTTTATTTTTCTGCAATTTCCCCATCGTTATTTAAACATTTTTTGTTTTTCTTTCCAGAAATTTTTGAGAAAATTAGTATTTGTTCTAATTTTTGAGTAAAATGGTGGAACATTTGTGCTTGGGTTGTTTTTTTTTTCTCCAGGCAAATTTCTTTTTTTTAACTAGAAATTTTTGACCAAACGTCCTTATATCAGCCAAAAAGTATTGTTGTCCTAAGCTCAAATATAAAAAAAAAACAATTTTTTTTCAACATTGGTTGAAGCAGGCAATTTGTCTAGCTTGCTACGTTACTGGGAGGGAGGAAAAATTTTTCAATTTGTACTTAATATGTCGTGTTCCTAAACCTAATATGTCGTGTTCCTTTTTTTTTCTTTTTTGATTGAAAAGTTCATTATTTTTGAAGCAAACACTGCTCCATATAATTTAAAACGCAGTCAGAACCTTCAAGGATTTGCCCTGATACGAGAAGACTTGTCTTGTTTTAACTTCTCTTCGACAAAATATAATTTTCTATTTTTTTTACAGATTACTTAAGTCATTATTGCGGCCAGGCAGAAGTTGAACCCGCCTTCTTCCTAAATCAGCTCTTGATACCACGATTTACTCAAGATTTTATTCAAGTTCCCCAAATTTATGGGCCGACAATCTGGAACCATCCGAAATTTCGGAAGTTTTTCTTTGCGTCATATGTACATTAACTTTGAGGCGTGTACAGTGCTGATTTAAATTATCCGGACAAAAACGAACAAAACTTGAATTTTCAAATGCGTTTTTCTCAAATTGGGTTAAGATTCGACAAAAAGTGAAGAGAACAAAAGTTGCTTAGAATTTCACCAGAATTAATATGGTGCCATTTTTTCTCCGAAGTTCTCAACAAAAGTTTTACCCCAAAAATGGCTCATTTTGGCTTTTTTCAATTAATCAAGAATTACGCAGAAAACACTTTGTTAATTGATGAGAAAATTATATCACAGGAAGCCTCTTACGCAGCTCAACAAAGTTTAAGTAGGGTTAAAACTCCAAAAATTTGCGCAAATTGTTTAAAAATTTTTTTTAAACAGAACTTCTGGGTTTTATATAGTAAAAATCACATTTATTGACTATCAAGTTATAATTTTTTCTCTTATACTGGTTTTTGGATATTTAACCCTTCTTAAACTTTGTTGAACTGCGTAAGAGGCTTCCTGTGATAAAATTTTCTCATCAATTAACATAGTAGTTTCTGCGTAATTCTTGATTAATTGAAAAAAGCCAAAATGACCCATTTTTGGGGTAAAACTTTTGTTGAGAATTTCGGAGAAAAAATTGCACCATATTAATTCTGGTAAAATTCTAAGCAACTTTTAATCTCTTCACTTTTTGTCTAATCTTAACCCAATTTGAGAAAAACGCGTTTGAAAATTCAAGTTTTGTTCGTTTTGTCCGGATAATTTAAATCAGCACTGTATGCCAAAAAAAAATTAAGCAATAAGAAACTTGTTCTTTTGAGTTTATGGGCAATATGCATATAAAGAAACCATAAAGCGAACCAAGTGAAGAATTTATTCAGGAATGGAACTTCAGCTATCAACTTCAGTTATGGAACCGTTATCAGTTATGAACCTCAGAATGGAACTTCAGTTATGAAATGCTTAACATTTCGTGTTTATTTTAGTTTCTGCTGCTCTACTTTTTTTCCGAAAACGATTTTAAAAATTGTGCGTTCGAGCATTTATGAGGCCTTAAGTGGCTGATATTTTGAGGTTTCTAATCTCAAAAAGGTATGCTAGTATGTCAAGTTAAGCAAGTTGCTTGATTATTTTTTTATAAAAAGAACCATTGAATGGCTATGTCACGTACAACCTCGAAAACAAAAAAAAACAAAATTAATACTCCTTGCACTGAAAAACAGCTTCTGTTGAGTTTTCTATCTTATAAATTATAACAGGCCCTATGTTGATCAAGCAATATACTTTTAGGCAGAATTATTTTTGAAGGGCTATCAAGTCAGATTGAAAGTCAGTTTTAAAATGCTTTTTTGTACCTCACACATAAATTGTTAAACTAATTTGAAAGAAGTTTACTTTTCAATAGGAACTTTTATGCACGACTTTTGTTTTCTCAGAAAGTTGAATCTTCACCAACCGAGAGATTACACTCTATTTCCACGACTGGCAATTTCTCCTTTCTGTTAAATTGTATGACCAGCATTTTCTCCATACTATGAAGTTTTATGACTCTGTTTTTGTCCATACTATGAAAATATGTGACTAGTATATTCTCCATCAAATGAAATTATATGAGTAGTGTTTTCCCGTGAATGAAAATAAAGAGTTTTGATTTACTTTTTTAATCCGACTTTCTTAGCGATAGTAACGGAATATTGGTGCGGTTGTTTTTTTCTTCGCACAAATTTCGAATGTTTAACTAGCCATTTTTGACGGATTTGTTTTGAATTATTCAAGAAGTTTGTTGTCTTCCGCTCACAATTTAAGTATTATTTTACCTGTAATTAGTTTTTGTAAAGTTATATGGGTTTACAGATAACTTGGGACAATTAACGCGCGATAGATTTCGCGCTATTAACGCGGAAGCGGAGATTTAATCCGTCCTAGAATTTGTTCCGCATTGGTTGAAGGAGGCTTTTTTGCCATAATTAAATTGTTACTAGAAACGAAATCTATCACTTTGCAATTTATATGTCGTGTGGGTGATGGTTTTCCTAAAATAACTCGAACTTTAAAAAAAATCGTTTCAATTTATTACATTTATTTTTTTCTTGTTAATATTGCTCCGTAGACTTTGAAAGGCAGTTGGAACATTCAGGCATTCGCCCTGATACGAGCAGTTTTGTGGTGTT